AGCCAATTAATGATGCTCTTACTGACTAAAGTAATAAAAACCAGTAACCTCAAGTTACGTCTGCTAATCTAAACACCAACCAGTATATTTTCATCTATTAATAAAGATATAGAGAAAAATACATTAATTAGAAAAACACTATTTTAATTACGTCCCCCAGTTGTGTACAACAACGTCAACTATTTTTGTCCATTAAAATGTTTAAAGTGAACATGTTACCATTTAATTGAACCATTTAATAATAATGGTTAATAATTTTATGCTAACAACCTATATTACACTGGTTTCTCATTTACCTAGGTTTTTTTTTTCTTACATAATTGTAATATGACCATTCTGTAAATTAGTATTGTTTGTCACCATGTTGTCTGGCAGCCCTTTTACCTCAATTATTAATGCCATATCATCGTAATATCATTTGATATTAAACCATTGAACTGATAATTATCATTGATGATGTGGGAGCTTAATACACTCTAATATTAGCTGCATGTTGTGTGTCAGAACTGATGTTTTTCACAGTAGTTTATCTAATTAAGACAATTCCTCTGTCCAAATATACAGTCATAATCTTGATTTAGTATGTGGCAAATATTTGGGAATGGAATGAGAGCGGTGTCCTTCAGCTAAGAACCAAGTGTAATATTTGGATAAGGCTGGAGCCATCTACTCATCTGGTAACGTTCATGATGTAAAGATGTGATGATGTGGCAGACTGGAATTGTATAAAATGCTTCTCTAACTGTTTATTGGGGTCACTTCAATGAGAAGTGAGACTGAATGGTAAGCAGCTGCCTTGTGTAACCCAAAGCAACTTCTCCTGATCTCATGGTTATTTAATACATATACATTATGAAAAGTTATTTAAAGAGATTGTCCAGAATGATCTCTTTTCTGGAAATAGAACAGGAGAAAGAAAGCTTCAAGGTGTAAACACTGTTCTGTTAGGAATACAGTCTGTGTGGGTTATGTTTTTGTGTTTTTCCCCCTCCACCACCAGGGGGCGCCCTGTTCTCGTTGGTCCTCCCTCACACCTGCGGCTGGTTGGCTCATTACTCGGGACTTCTTAAGTGGTGGACTGCCACTACTTTGACGCCAGAGTGTTTGCCAGTTTTGGGTACTCTAGCCAAGCTGAGTTTAGCTGAGTCTAACTGAGTCTTTGTTTCTC